GTTTCTGCATACTCCAATATGGGCCTGACGTACACGGTGTACAATGTTCTTGAATGACCCTTTTTGGCGCACATTAGCTTGCCAGCCCCATATGCAGCAGCAGTTATATTTGCTTGAAGTGAGCCACAGGAGATGTGCCCGGTATGTATCACTCAAGAACCTATCCTTAAGTGAGGTTGCAGCCCCTTTAGGCCCCACCTGCAGTCGTCTATGACCCTCTCGAATTCTTCAATGCTTTGCAACTTGTGGGTTAAACTCCAGGACCATTTTACGCAGGCTTGCGTCCTGTCCAGATCCTTTTGTATTCCTAACAAGAATTCTTGTCATTTTGAGTTCTCGGCATTAGTTGTTCACATCATCTTCTGCAAACAGGACATCTCTGAATGTATCCCCATCCCCATGTCATTCGCATTCCAGAAATAACACCGGCCCTATGGACGATCCCTGCGGAACCCCGCACGTGCAAAGGCGTCCACACCACTCTGACACTCCTCGGTCACAACTATTCTCGTTGTTTCCCTTCCTGTCAGGTATTCTCTTATCCAATGTAGTAGCCTTTCCTGTTTATTCCTTCCTGTTCCTATAGCTTTTTGTGTGTGGGAGTGTGTGAGGGTGTGTGTGGTGTTTAGTTACCATTTTGTCGTAGGCACATTCGAATTTAGACTCAAGCCTGATGTATGTGCAGCATGTGTGGTGCGTGGCGCGCGCGGGTGCGTGTGGTGGCGCGCGGAGTGGCGTGTGTGTGGCGCGCGCGGGACCGTTGTGTCCGCGCGTGTAAGCGCGCACTTACGCGCTCTGGTAATACTATTCTGGTGACTATGTGGTAATGATGGCTGAATCCTTATTTTTTTTTACGTATATTCACAAAATAGTTATGTCATTTCAGTCCGCTTCCTCCCAATTTTTAGTGTGTGTTTTTATTTATTAAAGCTGTTACAGAAGGCTTTCGGTTATTTACGCCTTATGTAATTCATTCATTCTCTCTCTCTCTCTCGCTCTCTCTCTCCATCCCCTTCATCTTCGTCACCTCTCTCTTCTCACTCTCTCTCTCAGTCCTCTCTCCTCCCTCTCCTCCCCCCTCACTCGCCCCCTCTACTCTCCCCCTCTCTCTCCCCCTCTCTCTCCCCCTCTCTCCTCCCCCTCTCTCTCCCCCTCTCTCTCCCCCTCACTCTCCCCCTCTCTCCTCTCCCCCTCTCTCTTCTTTCTCTCTCCCCCTCCACTCTCCTCTCCTCCCCCTCACTCTCCCCCCTCTCTCTCCCCCCTCTCTATCCCTCCCCCTCTCTCTCCCCCCTCTCTCTCCTCCCTCCTCTCCCCCTCTCTCTCCCCCCCCCTTCTCTCTCTCTCTCCCCCTCTCTCGTCCCCCTCTCTCTCCTGGTCTCCTCCCCTCCCTCTCTCACCCCCTCTCTCTCTTCCTCCCCCTCTCTCTACCTCACTTTACTCTCTCCTTCCCCCACCTCTCTCTCCTCTCTCGCCCCTCACTCTCCCCCCTCTCTCTCCTCCCCCCCTCTCTCTCCCCCTCTTCTCTCTCTCTCTCTCCCCTCTCCCTCTCTCTCTCCCTTCCCCTCTCTCTCTCCTCTCTCCCTCTCCCTCTCTCTCTCCCTCTCCCTCTCTCTCTCCCTCTCCCTCTCTCTCCTCCTCCCTCTCTCTCTCCCTCTCTCTCTCCCTCCCTCTCTCTCACTCTTCCCTCTCTCCATCTCTCTCTTTCCCTCTCTCTCTCCCTCTCCTCTCTCTCCCTCCTCTCTCTCTCCTCTCCCTCACTCTCCTCCTCTCTCCCTCCTCTCTCACTCTCTCTCCCTCTCTCTCACCCTCTCTCTCTCCCTCTCTCCCTCTCTCTCTCCCTCCCTCTCTCTCTCCCTCTCTCTCTACCCTCTCTCTCTCCCACTCTCTCTCCCCTCTCTTCCTCTCCGCGCTCTCCCCGCCTCTCTCTCCCCCTCTCTCCCCATCTCTCTCCCCCTCACCTTCCCTCTCTCTCTCTCCCTCTCCTCTCTCCCTCTCTCTCCCTCTTCTCTCTCCCTCTCCTCCCTCCCCCTCTCCCTCTCCTCTCTCCCTCTCTCTCCCTCCTTTTCTCCAGTAAGTCTACTAGCATCTGCTAGACACGTGCAACTAGGCAACCCCACTCAGCGTATATTTTTAAATTAACTGACAGTATTGCTCTGAAGCTCTTGCAGTTTGTTCCATTCATTTATAACATACTGCGATGCCCGTGCTTCCATCCTTTTAGGAGGTATCTGATCAGGCAGTTGTCTTGGCTATTGGCAGGCCCTGCGGCCGCTAGCAGCAGCAGTCTGGTTGAGTGGGCATTAAGCTGTAAAGGGTAGAAGAACCCTGGAAAATCGTTGCAGGTATGCCACAGGAACAATTGTTTCTTCTTCTCTCTCTCCCCTTGGTTAGATAATTTTGCACGTTTTCTTATTTATACCTCTTATATACAGGTTACTAAACATCCGCAAACGGCGAAATTAATTATTACAAACATTATCTCTCAGTCCATAGCAGGATTAGAACCTGCACACTCTAACAGAGTGTGAAGGTTCGAATCATACTCTGGACCGAGAGATAATGTTTGTATACAATATTATACAAAGAGGATTCCAGAATATGGCCGAAATATGCAGATCAATGAACCTTGTGTGTTTCTGCCTCCATGGGGGGTGAAATTATTGAAACTGACAAGGGTTCATTACACTTTAGTTATTCGTACAGTTATTTTAACAGTGGTTAAAAAAAACGGATTTCCATCATTTGCTCTCTTGTTTTACAGAATGACACATCATTACCCTATAAAGCTTACTATTCTCATTTAATACACTTCGTTTTTTTTATGTGATGTAAGACTGTAAGAATGGAGGAACACTGCAAGAGGCCTATTGGCCCAACCATGTTAAATTAGATCAAACTCTCAGCCACCCACCCATCACCTACTCGTGTGTTAATTACTGAATGAAATAAAATAAGACTGGAGGACTGCAGCATGTCTGTTGGCCCATGTGTCTTTTCCGTTATTTTTTTCATTATTTTAGTTTAGAGCGTATTTTTTACATAAATCTATGTAAAGGGCCATTTTTTACTATTAATAACTTATAAAGTCGCAACACAAACAGTGTGATGTCTGGCCAAGCCCAGAATAGCGTTGAACTATACGCTTATCATACATTCAGATTTTAGCGCTGCTTGCATACATGCGTGATGTGTATGCTGGGTTGTGAGGAGGGAGTTGATGATGACACGAGCCATCAACATCGCTGGAATTTTCACAAAATGCAGCAGTCCAGTGTTACTTCCCGCCTCACACACGTCTACGGATTCCGAGAATCTCTTCATGTAATGTTACTTACACTTCTAACCACTTATAAATCGTATCTGCTTCTCATTTTATGCATTTCATAGGACAGGAAGTTCATTGCTCGTAAATGTATTACAGAAAATATTCCTAGTATATACAGTAGAATTAATTTCGTAATTAGTATCATTTATACAGCTCACGATGTGGCGAGTCTCCTTGTGTCGCGTGGCGGATTGTGTGAGATTGAACTGGAGGCAAGAAATTACAAGCCTGCTACAAGTTCAACGACAGACTATGTATTTAATGAGAAATAGACAGAAGCGGTTATTGGCGCTGCTTGGTCGATGCAGGGGCGTCACTGTTTGTGATTTGATAGTCACAGAATGGGCATTGTATCGATCTTTTATAAATTAGCTACCAAGTTGTAGTTTCTATCTCCACTTCAGTTCCCTGCAATCCATGGAAAAAAAGAAGCGGGTATTGACACTGCTTGGTCCACGCAGGGACGCACTGAGACTTGATAGCCAACAGCCACTGATGAGGGGCATTTTTGTTGGTATTTTCTAAATTACATACCAAGCTTGTAATTTTCTTATCACCAGTTTCAATTCTCCTTGCAATGCCAGAAAAAAAGTTATAAACAGACTGTTTACTGTTTTTTTCGGTTTTTTACATAAATTAAATATGGTTTTTATGACTTATATTTACGTTACTTATACTACTTTGATAGGAAGCCAGGTTATCTATTAGCTCTATTGCAAACACTTAGGTGCTATTGTTTTAGCCTGGATGTGGCATACTCTTGCTTTGAATTTAGATTATTTTTGCTTTTGGCCTTCCAAATGCTTCTCTTGCTTTGGGCTTGAGATGTTCCTTGCTTTGTTTTCAGATGTTCTCGTTGCTTTGGCTTCGATGTTCCTTGCTTTGGCTCCAAGATTTATTGCACTGTCTTAAGCTTCAGATATAAAGCTTTTTTTGGCTTTTAGGATGTACATCAGTCTTGACTTCAGGTTGTACTGCTGCTTGACTCAGTTACTGCTGCCTGGTGGCTTCAGGTGTAACTGCTGTCTAGACTTCAGGTGTAACTGACTGTCTTGGCTTCAGGTGTACTGCTGTTTTGGCTTTTTGTCTTTTCCATCATATTTCCTGATAACCAAAAGTCTTTGTTATTAACTGGGTTGATTAATATAAATACTTCATACTTATTGTGATATTGTCTTCAGCGAATGATAACTAAAATAAGCATCGAGTGTCAACTCGGTAGAAGACACGAAAAAATTGCAGGAAGATATAATCAGAGTTTTCTAGTGGAGAGTGATCAGCATGAAGACGTATCAAAGGTTTGTAAAACTGCTTAGATTTGAAGAATGAAAAACTCAAAGGGGACTCTGTTATACAAAACCAAGAGGATCATCAAATAGAAACGGGTGAGGGAGGAGGGAAAGGGGGGTTGACGGGTAGGGGGTAGGAGGGTAAGGGGGGTGGGGATGTATTGACATTGAAAGTGGGGTAGGCGCGTTTTTTTTTTTTTATCGATAAACAGTTATAGCTGGAAATAGATTCGAAGCTGGTCGTATTATAGGCTGCGTGTGATAAACGATAATTACCACTGAATATATAATTAACGTGACTGAAGTTTTGTCAGCGCTGTGGTTCAGTGCTCGGCGTGGGTAACTTGCATTAATATAACATTTTAAGGAAATGTTCACATAGTTAATCAGGATAATGCAGAGGTATATTATACGTATATAAAATGAGTGTATAATTAAAACATTATGTAGGGATGGGACCACACCAACAAAGTGTCTATACCAATACCATGGCGCACCCGTAGCATTATGGGAGCGTAATTTTGGTAAATCACCTCGCAACACGTTTTTTGTTTCATGGATAATTATTACCACAGGGAAACACTAAATTCGAGTCATGCAGGGCTAGGTGGTGGTATTTATTCAGGTTTGATAAGAGTTTTTTAGGTGATCTAGAGACCTTCACCTTTTTGAAAGGTCGACCGATAAGATCCTATTTCTGCCTTAAAATATTGAGTGTGAGTGGTTGGCGAAGTTGGTTGGGGGAATTAGTTATTACCGGAGGGATCGTTGTAAGAAGGAGGGGGTAGTCGTTCTCTTCCAAGATCAACTCTTGGCATTTCGAGGCTAAGAATAGAGTGCTTGGTGTTGCGCATACAAGGGAACCAACAACCTAGCCAGCGGTAAAGGTATTGTGCTCGACGGGCGGGTGGGTACGTAGTGGAGCGAGCGTGGCTGCCAACCCACAAGTGATGGATAACAACACTGCGAAAGAGACCTTTACACGACGTTTCTCCTACAAGAAACGTTGTAATAGTTTTTATTTCCTATGCTTTTTTTATCCACCTGGCGCATACGTGCGCACGTACAGCAGGGATGTGGAGGGTAGAGTAGATGATGAGCCGCATGTACGCCAACATTGCGTACATAAACCTGCACACCGCCTAAATACTCAACAAAATCCTGAAATAGAACATATAAGCGAATTAAAAAACCGGTTGAGGCAGGTTGCCTGAAAAGGAAAAGCGAGATTTATTAGATGTGAATTTACCTGTTGGAGGTGATGATGTGAAGAGGGAAGTGAAGGTTCTCGCACGCTGTTCACGTGAACAGAAAATTAAGCCAGATGTTCACGGCTCTTATATACTTGAGCCTAGTGGGAGGAGCTAACTGCTGTCACTGGGGAAGTGGGGGGAGAGCAGGGAACAAGTTCCACTCAGTTGGGGGGGGAGGGGGAGATATAAGACGTCAAGGACCACAGGAGGGGGGAGGGATTTTCAGGATTTGGCTTTGTGAAGGTGGAACAAAGAATTATATACATGAGACCTACTACCCTAATTTAAATAATAGTTTCATTTTGGGAGCAAAAGCTAATTTTGATTCCATGTCATATTCCATCACGCAGGATGATCATCAGCTGGGAGGTTCCTTAATAATAAGAGGTAAATATTATGACTGGTATCAGGTGCGGCTCCACTCACATATTACGTTTACCAGAATGCTTCATGTGCTTATCAGCAGTCATAATGAATTTTCTGGTATGACCCCACCTCCGTATATTTGAGGCGTAGGAAAGTACGTAGTACATAAATACCCGCACATAAGAGAATGTGCTGGTATTTGTGTATTCCAGTCAGGGCATTGTCCTTTTTATTCTTTAAATTGAACTGATTAATTACCTTTGATGTAATTCCTATTTTTTAATACGTTGGCCGTCTCCCACCGAGGCCGGGTGACTCAAAAACAAAGAAGGAACAATTTTTTTTCTTTTTACATTTAGTAACTTATACAGAAGGGGGTTACTAGTCTCTTGCTCCCGGTATTTTAGTCGCCTCTTAAGACACGCATGACTTCCAGAGGAAGAATTTTTCTCCACAAGTGTAGAAGTCTTCAGGAAGAAACTGGATCTTCACCAGGTGCCAAATCAACCAGGCTGTGATAAATATGTGGGGCAGCGGGTCTCCAGCAGCAACAGCCTGTAGATGAATGGTTCAGAGAACCGACATGTTGATAAATTAGACACATGTACAACTCTTGGGGTATCTTTATTGAGGAAACGTTTCGCCACACAGTGGCTTCATCAGTCCATACAAAGGAGAATCTTGAAGAACAGGAGGAGAATGAGGTAATCAGTCCCTCAACCTTGAGTCGATGATTGATGGACTGACCACATCGACTCAAGGTTGACTGATTACCTCATTCTCCTCCTGTTCTTCAAGATTCTCCTTTGTATGGACTGATGAAGCCACTGTGTGGCGAAACGTTTCCTCAATAAAGATACCCAAGAGTTGTACATGTGTCTAATTTATCAGCAACAGCCTGGTTATATAAGTCTGTGGTCATATTTTAAAATCAACCGATCTTTGATTTCTGTGGGGACCAACAAACCGCTAGAAGCAACAGCCGAGTTGACGGAGCAGTCAAGAAGGAAGCCGAGCTGAGCGGGTAGAAGAACCCTGGACACTGGTCGAGGTACGGTGCAAGAGTGGCACTCTCCGTGAAGATAATTTTGTGTGGAGATTAACGTTGAAAGGAATATTTCTTTACTTACAAACGCTTTCTCCTCGTTTCCGGGACATCTATATTTTAGGTGCTATTCGTAAAGTACCATTAAGTCGATTTTGGTATACCTTACCTATTGGCTGATGAATGAGATACTGTGTAGTCACTTTAAGGGGGACGGGGTCACTGTTCCCAGACCAAACCTCCTGGTTGTTTGCTTCTTATGAGTCAACCAGCTAAACCTAACTGAGTAGAGAACGTCACATAGTTTTGTATATTTTTGTTTACTATTTGTTTTCACAACCTTATTTAACCCAACTATTCGGTCTATTCTCGCACGACGAGTGATAATGATAATAATTTGAACGTTTCATGATTTTCTTCGGCCACCTCATTGCCAAATTTTTTATTTGTCTATTTTTACTTTATTATTGGAGATTAAATATATTTTTATAGTCTCACGTAGTACTCGGTTGTATTTGTTGGGACGAGACTACTACTAGCCTCACCTAGACAACTACGATCGGCATTACTGACTTTGTCACTCTAGGCCTTAATATATATAATTTTGAACCTATATGCTTAATTTGCCTCCACTGCCGCATCCAAGTTACTCCACTTTTCAATCACCGTGAGATTGAATAAATACTTTTACCCACCTCTATGGCTCATCTGTGTCTGCTCCGCCCGTGTCCCCTTGATCTCGGTCCTTTTAATTTGATCTCTCTGCCCTAACAATTTTCCTTAATTAAGATTTTGTATATAATGTTTTCCCCTGTTGTCTCCTTTATAAGATCGTCAGGTTCAGTTCCTTCAGCCACTCCTCATAAAGCATTCCTCTCAGCTCATTTACTAGCCTGGTTGCGAACTTTTGGACATTTTCGTGCTTCACGTGCTTGACCAGGAGTGGGCTCCATGTTGGGACCACGTGCTCATGATTGGCCTGATCTAAGTCAGGCCAGTGCTATTCTTAAGTTTGCTAATATTGCATATGCAACTGACGTTAAGACGTTAATTCGAGAAATATATATATATATATATATATATATATATATATATATATATATATATATATATATATATATATATATATATATATATACACACATACACACACACACACACACACACACACACACACACACACACACACACACACACACACACACACACACACACACACACACACACACACATATCGTACTATGCCTCCGGCCAGTACGGCAGTGCCGGAAAATAGCAGGAGATAGCTTCTACCTATACCACTAGGTAGTAGGTTGGTAGACAGCAACCGCCCAGGGAGGTACTATCGTCCTGCCAAGTGAGTGTAAAACGAAAGCCTGTAATTGTTTTACATGATGGTAGGATTGCTGGTGTCCTTTTTTCTGTCTCATGAACATGCAAGATTTCAGGTACGTCTTGCTACTTCTACTTACACTTAGGTCACACTACACATACATGTACAAGCATATATATACACACCCCTCTGGGTTTTCTTCTATTTTCTTACTAGTTCTTATTCTTGTTTATTTCCTCTTATCTCCTGGAGTTTACCTGGAGAGAGTTCCGGGAGTCAACGCCCCCGCGGCCCGGTCTGTGACCAGGCCTCTTGGTGGATCAGAGCCTGATCAACCAGGCTGTTACTGCTGGCTGCACGCAAACCAACGTACGAGCCACAGCCCGGCTGGTCAGGTACCGACTTTAGGTGCTTGTCCAGTGCCAGCTTGAAGACTGCCAGGGGTCTATTGGTAATCCCCCTTATGTATGCTGGGAGGCAGTTGAACAGTCTCGGGCCCCTGACACTTATTGTATGGTCTCTTAACGTGCTAGTGACACCCCTGCTTTTCATTGGTAGGGTGATCCCAAGGAAGAAAACATTAACCATCATTAATTTAATAGCCGTCTTGACAGAGGTGCACAAACATCACAATTCAATTGACCCTTCGTACTTTAACATCCCTACTATTTCCTCATGGTGCTGGCACTAAACTTCCCACCTCTTGGACACAACTCTCCAGCTAACCAGTTTTCCTTGAATTCCATCATAAATGTTACCTTCTCACACTCCAAAACAAGCAAAATCCCTAAAACCACGATTTAACATACTCACACATGCCTGATGAATGCTCAAGCAACTACCATTGAAAATTGTGACCTGATATTGGTCTCAGAGAGACTGAAACACTGTCTTAAGTTTCCTATCGTAAGTGTGGATTATTTATAAAGTTGAAATCTTCACACCCACCCTCAAACATTTCCAGATTTATACACCCCCTTGGTCATCCTATTGTGCTCTATCCTATCAAAATGGTCAAACCACCTCAACAACCCCTGTGCTGCCCTTTGAATAATGCGTATCATAATCCCACATAGTCACGTAATTCCAATGCTCCAGATTCTTTCTAAAATATTCATACAACACATTGCTCTCAAAAATGTCATCTTCACTGCATTCAGGTTGCACCTCACTGCAAGGTGTAAAGCCCTGGGTCCCACACTCCTATACAAGGTTTGATATCATGAAGGAGCAAGGGCTACCTATACCACAGAGTTACTCACTAGCTACAAGTGTACAAACTTGTTTAAGTAATATTACTGCTGTTTTACACATCAAAAGCTGGGTGTCACGGGTAGTCTTAAAGTATTAAACTATTTTTGCATCTTCAAAGAGTAAGACTTAACAGCCATGCAAACAGTTAATTATGTAAAAAAATGTGTAAAAAATAAAAGTAATGCAAGTTGACTGAGTATATAAAATATAGAAAGCCAAAGTACAGAAGGAGAAAAATACACATTAAGGATATAGTCATGCAGTATGCAATATAAAGAAGGAAAACATATATGAAAACACCATAGTGAGAGAGAATATAGTAAAACACTGGGGAAGTGGAACAGAATTCTTCCTCCGTAAGCCATGCATGTTGTAAGAGGCGACTAAAATGCCGGGAGCAAGGGGCTAGTAACCCCTTCTGTATAAATTACTAAATTTAAAAAAGAAACTTTCGTTTCTCTTTTTGGGCCACCCTGCCTCGGTGGGATACGGTCGGTATCCCACCGGTATCATGCAACAAGGGCATATATCAACAACCTGCCTGAGGACAATGCAGTGGTAAAATTAGATTTCAAGAATGCGTTCAATCTCCTGAAAAGAGACGTGGTATTAGCAGCAGTACAAGAACATTTCCCTGGTCTCTTCCCTTTTGTTTCAGCCGGGTATAGCAAGGAATCAATGCTTCTCTTTGGAGAGCATGAAATTACATCATCGGAGGGTGTCCAACAAGGAGATCCTCTTGCACCATTTCTCTTCTGTATAGCAGTTAGGGAAATCACAGTCAGACTGACCAGCGAGCTAAACATCTGGTTCCTAGATGATGGCACACTAGCAGGTACAAAAGAGTCCCTCCTACATGACCTTACACAGGTAATGACACGGGAACAGGAAATGGGTCTCATCCTGAATCCATCCAAATGTGAAATCATCTCAGTCAGTCAATAAGTGATAAATGCAGTGAGATCAAAACTACCAGGAGCAGCAGTCATTGCCCCCACAAATAGTGTCTTGCTAGGAGCACCTCTGGGAAGCAATGCCATTGACACAATTCTCAGGAAGAAATTGGAAGAGTTAAGGAGGATGGAACAACGAATAGGCAATCTGGACACCCACGATGCCTTGTACCTTCTC